CTGGCCACCGAAGGAGTCCCAGGAAGGTCAAGGACAAGCACGGAGGCAGCCAGGCGAGGAGCCTCGAACCTGCCCCGGCTTCGCGCGAGCGATGGCAGCAAGAGTGGGCGACAGCGGAAGGGGAGACTCAGCACAATCTGCCGAAAGCGCCCCAGAGCTCTCGGCCAAGCCGAGCTTCGCAGACCAAACTCCGACGGGTCAAGAGAGAGCACGCAGGGACAGCGGCGGGCGGACTCGCACTGCACTGCAAGTCCAAAGGGGGGAGGCAGAGCAGCAAGCGAGCAAAGAAACAAGCGAAACAAGGGAAGCGGCGGCACTGCAACAAAGGCGTCATCGCACAGCTACGCGGATAGGAAGGCGGCGCTGCATGAGCAAGCTGAAACGACCCTCGAAAACCTGATCAGGGGCGGCCCTCGCAGTCGCAGTGCGAAGGCGGAACTGCAAATGCGCGCGGACAGAAGTCTCGACAACTGCACGCAGAGCGACGTCGCGTTTAGCCTCGGGAGCGGCCCCGTCGACACAACAGAGGGCGAGGAAGGGGGAGGCGGAACCGCAGAGGAAAAACGCCAGGGGCCCAAGTCGTAAACAAAACAAGCACACGAGGACAGCGCAGATAATGGCCGTGATCATTTCTGCCATGTCCACAGCCAAGCAAGCGCGGTTTCGGGCGCGCGTGGAACCTCGCAGAGGCCCGCGCCCCTCGGCAGAGGACCCATAACCCAGCCACCACTAAAAACGTATCAGAAACCACGCGCCAGGGGCAAGAGGAAGGGGAAGCAACGTCAGGACTCGTCGTGGGATTTCACAAAATGTCACGCCAAATTCTCAGACCACCCTCGCGCTTTCACGGGCTGCGCTTGCGACGCGGCGGCGGGATCAGCGTCGATCTGTCTGGCCATGGGCAAGAGCTGCGTCGCCGTGGCAGACATGGGCCAGGAACGAGGTCTCAAGCCACCCTTACACCAGACGCGGAGGAATAATATCAGTTGAACTGGCGCGGATGTCAGCAAGGGCAGCCTGGTAAGCTTGCTAGGCACGAGAACTGTGGACTGTCCGGAACACCGACGCTTTCGCAACATGCTTGATCGACGCGCAGCGCGCGCTGCCCCCCCCCCCCCCCCTGCAACATCCAAGGACCGCGTCATGTTACTACTGATGCTGCAGCGAGGGCCAACACGAATAAAAGGGGGAGCACGGTCTTCTAACTGATGGAGGCGGACAGCCGGCCGATGGAACTGGCGCGCGCAACTATGCGCGGGCGCGGCGCCAGCGTCGCGGGCAACAACTGACTCAGCCAAGCCCGCGCCCACTCCGCGGATCCTACAAGCGCGGAAGAAATACTTATCGCACTGCGTCGGGGTGCTGTGGCGGCGCGCCTCGCGGCCCGCAGAGACCCCCAAGCATCCGCAACGTCGAACAACATGGAAACGCGCACAACCTCTGCCCGAACACCCCGGGAAGCCAACGAAGACAGACAAGCCACCATAAGGTACCACCAAAAAGATGCACTTACCACGGCGCAGATCTAAGCCGATGGCATCCGCGAGGAGGCAGAGCTTCTCGGAGATATGCAGCCAATCAATTGACGACTTCGCCGAACGCAACCTGAGGCCACCAGCGTAACCGGAAAGGCCGCATCTGGGAGGACCTGTAACTCCGAGCCACCGACAGACTGGGTCCAGGGCAAAAGCAAATAAGAGCTGCGACGCAGGACACCCTTGGCGGACCCCGCGACCCACGCGGAAGGAAGCCAGAATAACGCCCGCAGAAACGCACCCTATTAGCATTGTCTTCGCAAGAGATTTCAAAGAACTTCACGGTCCAGAGCGGAAGTTCCATCTTGTCCAGAAGGAACAGTGCCCAGTTACCCAATCGATAAACAAGCTAGAAATAGCGGCCTTGAAGTCAGTAGATCTGTGCCAAATCAGCATGCCCTTCCACATGAGCAATCGACCCATCAACTTCATCGGCGATGATATTGCCTGGGATCGACCGGCCAGGAACACCCCAGACTGCGCACTGCGAATCGACTGAGCACTGACTCTGGTCAGGGGGTGGGCGGCGGCGGCGGCAGTGGCCAACTTGCAGTCAGCGCATCCCATTGACAAAGGGCGAGTGGAGAGAAGGCTTGCGGGCAGGCGCGGCAGGGTCGTCCGACGGATGGCCCCGTTTCGCCAAGAGTACCACGGGCATTTCATGGAAGTCATCGGGAAGAGGGCGCGAGGGTGACAGAAGCAATGGCGACATACCATCAAACCCTGGCATGGGGCCCCAGAGCGCTCCACAAGTCCAGCAAACGCTGCACGGGCCAGCTTCAGCTTAAGACCAGGCAGGAGAACGTCAGCGCGCTGGATGCGCGGTGCCAGAGCGTCGCAACGCGTGACCAGGCACGCGCGCCGCGAAGACGTCGCCCCGGTATCTTGCCAGCTCGTCGCCAACGCGACGCGCGAAATCAAGCGGCCCGCCGCGGCTTCCCACTGGAAAGCTACCGAGCCAGACAGACTTGTTAAGACTGCGCCGCCGCTCGCGATTGCTGTGCACGCGCGCGATTAAATGCAAGTTCGCGTTCAGGTCGCTGGCGCGCTGCAACGCCTCCTCCTCGTCGTCGAACAACCGGTTCCTCAGCGGTGCAGTGCAGTGCGCGCGCAGACCACCTGGGTCAAAGAACGCTCAGGCGCCGCCATCATGGAAGGACATGAGACGAAGGCACGCACGCACAGCGCGAACGACAAGGCACCGCGCGCGCGCCCGAAATCCACGGAGAGCGGCAACGCGCCAATGCAAGCTCCCATGACGTCTCGTGCGTCGCCGCCTTGGCACCAGCTCCACGCAGTTTGGCGGGGCGAGTCGCGCGCCGCAGCCCCGTCAGAAAGGGGCCCCCCGAACTCCGAAGCACGGGCGACCCGCGCAGGGGCGGGGGGGGGGCCATCAGAGCGACGAGGCTGTGGAGCAACAGTTACCACCTCACTGGCGCGATCGGAAGAGTTTCTTCAAATTGGCGGGCGCGCCAGTCGTCGAACCAGTGACAACTAAATCCATCAAGACCGCCGGGGGGCGTCAACGCGCACTCGATCCAGGAGCCATAGAGACAGCCTCGGGACGCCGACAGGCGCGACGGGCATCCTGCGGCTGGCGCAACTCACTCCAGTCACTCGGGCAAGAGTTTCATTGGCGCGCGAACGCAGTACCCCCGCGACAAGCGAGCCCAATCTGAAGATCAAGCCTGCCTTCATCGCCGGGCGCAGCATTGACGTCGCCCGGCAGGATGCGGGACGCAGCAAGGGATGGCAGATGAGCAGAGCGAACAGCAGAGAGACAGTGACGGCCGCACCCAACACCAGCATCAACATTCAGCATGGGAGCGGCCACGAATCCCAGAAGTCCAGATGCGCCCCATCCAAGGACGTAGGAGGCCGTTCCAAGATCAGTGATTTAGAATGAAACTAGAACAATGCGTTTCGAGCGATTCCAGAAAGCAGACCAGGACCCCGCGCCCAGGGACGTTGTCAAGATAAGCGTTCAGGACAAACTTGCGAGACGAGGGCTCCTTCTCAAGAGCGACCAGGTCCCCGGAGTGCCCACGGGACTCCTGGGCGCAGACAATCTGGTGCTTCCTGAGCAACCCCGAGAAGATGCGCCATCGAGTGGGTGCCCGATCCTTCTTGCTGCTGACACGTCCACACAAACCGCGAGCATCCCGGGCCACAGCAGAGATAGGTTTCTTCGGCAAGAGGGGAAGGACTGCGCTGCCCCAGTCTCCACCATCGAAATATCGGCCATCGCGCAGGAGCGAGGCAATGTCTTGCGCCAGCAACTCAAGCCCCGACGAAGCATCCTCAGACGAAGAATCGTGTTTGTCGAAGGCTCAACTGGCCGAAGACCTTCGCCCGAAAACTCGCGCGAAGCGAATGGATCCGTTGCCGACCGACGACGTCAGCAGACCACCATTTGAGCATTGGAGTATATTTGACGAGACCCTCGAGCTCGTTGCGAATCTTCCCCACGACCGTTAACTGCTTGATAGTCTCAGCATCGCGGAGCGGCTTCGAGCGCCACGTCCTGGGGTCCTCGGGAGTCTTCAATTTGAAACCTCCAGGGTAGCGCGTGCGGCACGCGTCAAGCGTCTTAGCGGCTGCAGCAGCAAAGGGAAAGGCAATGATGACATTCCTCGAGAAGTTCTGAAGCGCCACGGCCATGGCCATCTTCACCTCTTCTTCAGCGCACGCAGAGAGAATCTCAGTGCCAGCCTCCTGGAGAAACGAGTGAACCGAACCCCGCAGTAATGGCCTCGGAGAAAAGATCGGGATTTCCACCACGCACAGGCGGAGAAAACCCTCGGAACTTCTTGTTTCGACTACTGGAACCACCACCCCCATCAGAACTCACCTTGCAAAAGCTGGAATTCCAATTCCGAATGTTTTCCGTATTCGAGGTGTTGGCACCCTGCTCTTCAAGACTCTTCTGCGAAGCAACATCACTAGCAATAACTTCGAGAACCTGGGCCGACACCTTCGAAACAGGCTCACTCATCTTGGCCACCCGAGCGGTCAGCTCCTTGATCGCCGCACCAATCGGAACCATCCCTAGCCGGCCGCGACATCGATCGGGGTGGAGGAGAACGGCAAGCAAGCAAAACAGGCAGGCGGCTTCGCCCGCTGCCCGAACTTCTCGTCGGCCGCGACCCAGGGCGAAACGACAAGGATACACGGTTCGACCTTGAGCAAAAACATACGACATTACGATGACGGTGACGATGACGGTGATGATGATGATGATGATGATGATGGTGGTGATGATGATGATGATGATGATGATGATGATGATGATGATGATGCTGATGATGCTGATGATGCTGATGACGATGATGATACTAACGATGATAATGATGATGATGCTGCTACTGCTGCTGATGGTGATGATGATGATGTTGGTAATGATGATGATCATGCTGTTGCTACTGTTGATGATGCTGATGATGATGGTGGTGGTGATGATGATGACGATGACGATGACGTCATCGTCATCGCGAGGCCTGAATTGCAGAGCTGATCCTGAAACGACTTGCAGGCCTGGAGGCCCCTTCCAGCTTGCCTGAGATGCAAGTCCTCATCCTCCCAGGCATTGCGTGCGGTTCACCAATCGCTACCAAGTGTTTTTGGGATAAGAGATGGCAACAATGCCAGCGTTGGAATCTATCCATCTGCCGGCTTCGACTGTCGCTGCAGACTTGAAACATGTACCACAAATCATAACTGATGTCACCTCGCCAAAGGTATTGTTTTGTTCCGCCGACGTCAGACCCCCTGTTGTCAAGGATACGAAGGCGTATGAGATGTTTCCCTTCGTTTTGTTCCACACCCCAGGGCTGCAAAAACATGCACAAGGGGTAACGAGCTCATCAACTCACAGAGAGCGCGTTTCAAATTCGCTTTTGTCGGTTTCAAGGCCAGAGGCCCCCTCCCAAACCAGGGGACACCCCACCTCACCCCCCAGCCCCGGAAGGGGGAAGGGGCCTTCCGGACTGCTTTCCTTCTCCCCCCCGCGCAAACGATGAGGGGAAGTTACGTCCCCCCTCCTTCAGGCGCAAGGGAAAAGGGGGTTCGAACCCTCCCCCTACTTAACCGCACCTGGGCCTCCAATGAGACCACGAAAAAGAAGAGTCGGCAATTTCGATTTCGCACTCCGCTGCCACTGGCGTGGGCGAGGTCTAATCCTCATCCGCACTGTGCTGGGTATCCCCCAGAGCACACGAAAGTGGCGACAGTTTGGCACTTCGCAGCCCCCATCGACGGCGAGGTCTAATCTAGATCTGAATGTGACCGCACTCCACTGGGTATCCCAGGAGCCAACGAACGTGTCGACAATGTGGCAATTCGCAACACCCAAAGGACGAAGAGGTAGAATGGCAACTGACGGCAAATAGGCAGGTAGGAGGTAAGATGCAGGAGGGACACGGAAGGAGGCGGGACGGAAAGCGGAGGCAGGTCAGGTCAGAAGCTGTGCATCTGTAAGACGCGTTGGCTGTGGAGAAGGAGGCAGCAGTGCTGTTTTCAAAACAAGAATCCAACTGAGGAGGGTCGGAACACGTGGTTGAACTGCAGGTGAAACTCCGAAGCCTTCAAAGGCCTTCGAGGTGGTCCACGAGCACCTCAAGAAGGTCAAGAACAAGTAGCGCAACAGGGCCCCGAACGCCCCCAAAAGAGAGCCCTGGGACGGAGCCTCCCACACGGTCCCACAGGACCCATGAGGATCCCCAGACCCAGACATCCGGCTGCTCCAATTTTGCTCATTGCGTGGGCCCCGGAAATCCGACCACTTCCCTGGGGCCGGTTTTTCGTCCCGACTCGTTTCTTGACGCTCCCGAGGCCTGGCGAGGGCCCCCAGAGGCCGAAAACGGCCCAAAAGCCGCAGGCGCCAGTCCTTTGTCGGAGCGCCGGATCTCCGGGGAGGGCGCCGAAGAAGAACAGAACTGCTCAAGAGGGCCCCGGGAGAGCCCGCAGAGCCCAGGAGGGTCCGAAGCGGGCCCCCCCAGAGCCGAGCAGTTTCTTAGGGTGGAGGGCTCGGGGTGAAATGCATAATTATAGGCTCTTGCACCTCGAAAATCAATCCGTCTTGTGACTCACCTTTTGCAGAATCAAGCCTCGAAGGAGGAGGAGGAGGAGGATAAGGGGCATTTCAGATTTCACCCTTTGCCCTCCACCGAAGATCATGCTCGGCAGGGAGCCCCCTCGCCTGGCTCCTCGCGCCCTCGCGCCGCGCGAGCCACCTCTTCGCGGCGCCCCCGCGGGGCCTCCCCTTGGAGAGCGGCAGATCTGCGGCCGCGGCCGCGGCGCGCGCAGTGCGGTCGTCTTGAAAGTTCTGATGCTCCAGCCTGCTTCAGTGAAGGGGCCTTGGGACACACAAATAAATACACACAAATAAAAGGATTCCCCATATTTTCCCGTATTTTCTGGATTTTCGTCTTCCCCCCCACTGCCCATATTTTCCTGTATTCTCCTGGGAGTCGACGATTAATTGTGTCTGTGTGTTTTTTTCCCATCCTGAGTTAGCCTTGCTCGCCAGGAAGAATCTCGAGCGCCCAAAAAAGCACCGAAGCTCAAAGGTTCTCACGCGTCGGGCCCTGGGAGACACTCGCCTGACACCGTTTCGACACTATTTCGACACTCCTTTGCCACTTTTCCGGGTGCTCGAAATTATCATTGGGATGCGGTCCTTAAGTAGGATGGGAACAACATAACTTTAAAGACGCCCAGGGGCACACAAATAAATCCGCCAACCCCCTTGCGGGGCCATCAGGCTGCGAAGATTGGGCTTGCAGCTCCCTGTGCCAGTTGCGGTTTCCAGTTTCCGCTGTTGCCGTCCTTGCTGATAATTGTTGCTGAACGCGCGAGGGGGGGGGAGCCGAAAAACGAATTGGTTAGCGTCCCCGAATCGCGTTGTCTGAATTCCCGGGGGGGGGGTCGTGAGACACGTGAAAATACATGATATTCGCGTCCCCGAGAATACATTACGCCATAGTCGCGTCCCCGAGGCCATAAGCCTTCGCAACTTATACAAAATTGGCGTCCGCGAAACCAGAATCCCTCGTACATTACAGAATATTCGCGTCCCCGAAGCCGTCAACCGTTGCAAATTACACAATAATCGCGCCCCCGAAGGCAGACACCTTGGTAAATTACACGATATTTGCGCCCACGAAGGCACAAACAGTCAACAATTATAAAATATTCACGTCCCCCAGGCCACAAACCCTTGCAAATTACAATATTCGCGTCCCCGAGGCAAAACACTTTCGTAAATTCATGAATGTTTGCATCCTCGAGGCCATAAACCCTTGTGAATTATGCAATAGTTGCGCCCCAGAGGCCATAAACCTTCATAATCATACAATATTTCCTTCCCGAGGCCAGAAACCCTCATAAATTAATCAAGATTCGCGTCCCCGGAGCCACACACCATCGTAAATTACCTAATATGCGCGCCACCGAAGCCATAAACCCTAGTAAATTAATATTGGCCCTCGCGTAGAGTCGCGACATTGCTTCACGTCAGCGTCCAGACATCCCAACACAGCTCTGGCAAGTCCCATTCCTAGAGAGGGGGGCCGGCGGCTTGGGGTCGAAGCCCTTACGGATACACACAGGTCCCAGGATTCCCCACATTTGTCCACATCTTCTGGCTGTTCCTCTTCCCCCCCTTCCCATACAGTTCCCATGCTCTTTCCTGGGAACCGACGGGTACTTGCGTCTGTGTGTTGCTCCCTTCCCTCCCGAGACGTGCGGCCATCTTCGCGCACCCCGGTGGGGGACCCAGAGAGACCCAAGAATTGGCGGCGCGCACAAGGGGGTGGAGGGAGGGGGGAAGGCTTCTTAGGAGGCTGCTCCTTAGAAGGCGCCGGCCTCACATCTATAGATAAAGCCCGCGCCTACTAAGAAGCAGGGGTACTTCTCAGAAGCCCTCCCCCCTCCCCCCACCCCCCTCTGCGCGTGGCTGAAAGAAGGCAAGGCACCGACAGGCGTCCGAAAAGCGCCGGCCCGCTCCAGAAGCGCGGGCCGACGCGCCCGCCGTGGCCGCTGCCCAATGGAGCGCCCACGTGGGGTCCATGAGGAGCCTCGGGCTGCCAGCTCGAGGGCTCGTCCGGGCTCTTGCTCTCAGCACTCGCTCGGGGGAGCGCTGCTGGCAGTGCGGGGCGCATGCCGTGCTGGATCCTCTTCCTTCGCATCAGCCCTGGTGCTTGTTCACCGCTCATCTCCCTTTATATCTCTTCGAATTCGTTTTCCTCCTCCTCCTCCTCCTCCTTCCAGGAGTGCAACAAATGATGGTTTCTTACCGAGCGGTTACCGACCGACCGGCCATGCCGTCTGCTGCCTTCAGCCCATCGGGGCCGTCTTCGGCTCTTCGACGAGAACTGCTAGGAAACTGGAACAGCAGACGGCTGGATTCAACTGCGGAACACGTGGAGGCCCCCGCACTGGATCCACATGCGCATCGCTGGCGCCCCTGGACACACCAAGCAAAGCGCTGCAACTGCATGCGGCCACGCGTGTATCCATTAGACGCCCAATCCGGCCACGTCGTGTGCACACAGCTCCCTGGAAGGCCGGCGGTGAATGCGAAGCCTCCTGAGCGAGATCACCTATGGGGGGCGCCCATTTATAATGACTCTCTAAATGCGCGGGGAACAACAATATTGTGATACTCCCTGCTCGAAGCCGTAAATTCAAGTGTCATCGCCGAACTGGCTATTTCTACATAGCAGCATCTGCAAATATATGCTCTATATGAGCTCGTCCATAAACTAGAGCCATTAAAGCAACACACACACACAAAAACTACTCCTATCTTCCAGGAGTAGGTGCTGTCAGACTGGCGCGCTCCCCAGCCTTGTCCCTGTGAAACATGTGCCGCATCTTGTCTCCGATCGAGTGCATGGCCGACGAGGCCATGGCGACCTCCTTGTGGACCCAGGACCCGATGTTGCCCCTGACACTGTGCGGGTGCGCGGCGGCAATGTCCGCGGTCTCCATCCACATCCCGTTGACCTGGGTCCTCGCGTTGCCCATGCGATCCAGGTAGACGTATCGCTGCTTCTGCCTCTTCTTTGCGGCCGCCCGCAATACTGCTGGGTCTGGCGCCGGCTCTCGACCGCCGACCCTCGCCGGGTACTGCGGCCCCAGATACAGGGTGCGCAGCTGCAGCTTCACCTTGATCTTCGTCTTGGAATCGCTACACTCCTTGAGCGGCTCCTGCAACTCTACTGTCAGCTGGTCGCAGACCACGAGGTCGCGGACATTGTAGTTCAGCTTGCCAACGACCTTGTCCGTCATGCCAGGCTCGGTCTTCATCACCTGTATGGCCACCTCTGCCTTGCTGGGATCTGCCAGCAAGAACTGGAAAGGATGATTCCATATTATATCGATATGCTCGGTCTCCATCGACGAAGCTTGCTCATTTATCACCGACATGACGCGATCTGGAGATAGGTCAAGGACCTCCGCGACAGAATCAAAAGGCACTCTGCAATCGACAAGTTGCCTAATCTTTCGATCGAGCTCCTCTTCTTTGTCCGCCGCCGTGTCCATACCCATGTCGGCCTTGGGATTTGTTTTGTTCTTGCCTCGCAGGGGAGTCTGTTTAACGGCCTCATCCGAACCGGCTTCGACAGCTTTCCCGTCTATGTTCAGGTGGGGGGAGCACTCGACCTTCCATTTGGACGCCCGAAATGGGTGCGGAAAGAATGGGTACAATGCCCAACAACAAATGTTGTCCCAAACCAACAGCGGCCGCTGTTGGGCAGGCGGCCTTCTGTCTCGAATGGACACAGGCCGCGGGGGCGCGGACAGCGAGTCCTGTTCAAAATGAACTGGAACTGCTGTTGGGCACCCTACCCATTCTTTCCGCACCCGTTTCGAGCGTCCAAATTCCAGAGGCACCACCTATACCACACCACCGTGTTTGGCCAGGGCCATCCGGGGGCCACTGACGGCCCTGGCCAGGCACGGTGCTGGCGTGTACTCCAGATCTCGTAATAAAAGGGAGGGGGTCTGGACCCTCCAAGGCAGGCCATTTCAGGCCTCCCCCGTGGGAGAACCCTCCAAAAAACATCGTCCCCAGACCCCCCGAGGCCCTCCAGGATGGCCCGGAAGAGGCCCCCCCCCCCGAAACGAGGCCCCCTCCCTCCTGTCACGAAGTCTGGCGCGCAGGTGCAGGTGCCTCCCGCGGCTGCCTTCACGAAATACCTCACGGGGTCCGCGGCGTCCACGCCGCCCACGCCGCCGACCGCCTCGTGGGCGAGGTCGTGGCAGCCGTAGACGCCGACGAACAGCAGGGAGTGGAAGGGGCCCGAGGCGTCGGGGGCCGCCCTCCTCCGAGGCGCAGAGAGGGCGCCTCCACGCCACCGCCGCGCACGGCCAGGGATCGCCCACCCTGGGCCCTGGCACGGTGTATATGAAGGGGCCCCAGGACACACACAAACAAATACACACAGATTAAACAAAAAAAAATCCCATATGTTCCCACATGTTCTGGGTTTTTCTGTCTTCCCCCCCACTTCCCATACTTTCCCACATATTCCTGGGGATCGACGATTCACTGTGTCTGTGGTTTTTTTTCCCTCCTGAGTATACCCCATACCCCCTGGTGGCCGACGCCACGAGGGTCGATACACCAGGCCAGGGTCCAAGACGGCCGTGGCCAAGCACGCTGATGGTGTGTAAGTGCCCTCTGCGGAATCCTCGCCACCGACTCGTTGCACTCGAAGGGGACCCAGGTCACCTCGAGCTGGAGCCGAGAGTCCAGCTTCTCCCACTCCTCCATGGCAGCGCCGGTCCGCTTGTTGAACCCGTCGACGATGCTGGTCCTGGCTGTCCCGATAGCGCCGCCTGTCTTCGCCAGGGCCCTGCGGACCAGTCCGGGGCTCTCGAGGTTCTGCTGGTGTCCCTCTGCAAACTCGACCTCCTTCGCCTCTTTCTCCTTTTGGAGCTTCGAGGTCCAAACCACCTCCATCGCTAGAGACGTGCTCTTTGAGACTGTTTTGTCAGGGACGTGGCTAGTGTCTGTGGCGCCCACCAAGTCCTTGATCTTGACGCCGAGTTTGCGAGCAAGGGGGTCGTCCCCACCGATTAAGTCCCAGTCGAATACACTGAAGTCAAAGTGCTGGTCGAAGAACTCGTCGACAAGCAAATAAAACGTACTGTTCCATTCAGCATCGCCCGTCGATCTCATGACGGCTTGTGTCTCCATGGAGCGAGCGCCTAGCTGAATGTGCACATATGGGTCGCAAGTGCGCTTCTTATTCCAAATCGACAGCAGGTGGAAATCGTCGGTCCGCAGCCCCGTAGCACCAACGACCTTGAGCTTCAACAACCCTTCAGGGCGAGGACACGAAATCTTGAAGATCCGCCAGCCCCCTTCTGCGGGGGCCACCAGGCTGCGAGGCACAGGCTTCAGCAGCTCAGCATCTCAGCTCCTGGCAGCGCCAAGTGCCCAGCAACATGGAATTGTGTTGTCGCGACCTCTGCCGAGGCCACTCGCGCCTCAAAACCTCAGAGGTATCAAGTTTATCAAACGCTCGGTCTCGCCAGCCCTCTCAGGGCACCCTACGTGGTCCGAGGCGTCAGCTCTATCAAGATAGCCCTTCTTCCATTGAAGGAACCTTCTCCTCACTGAGGCCCTCACCGGGGATGCTGCAGGGGCGCGAGCGGTCAGCGTGTGCAGACGGGAGCTCCATGGCTCCAAGATGGTCCAATAAAACCCAAGATGGCCCCGCCTCTGAGAGAAGGACGATAGCGCAAAACTGTCAAAATTGCCTCAATAACCATGATCGCCAACACGGCTCCAAGAGGCACTAGACAGCTCGAAGTGGCCACGTAGTCTTCCACATGGATCTCCGAGAAGTCACACTCACAACCACTTTGCTTCTGATGGGCCTCCGAAGACTCAGAAGAGCTCCTAGATGGCCCCATGGGGCCCCAAGTGTAATCGGGAAGCACGTAGCAAGTCCCCATGATACTCTGAATGATACGCAGGAGTGAGCGCATTGTATCCGACGGCCATCGGCAATGGCAACGGATAACAGAGATGATAATACGCGGAGCCTTTTCCTCGAAGAGGGGCATCATCATCACCACCACCACCATCATCAACATCAGCATCAACATCAACATCATCATCAGCATCATCATCATCATCAGCATCACCATGACCATCACCATCATCCTACTCATCATCAGCATCCTCATAATCATAATCATCATCATCATCATCATCATCATCATCATCATCATCATCATCGTCATCGTCATCGTCATCGTCGCCACCATCATCATCATCATCATCATCATCATCATCAGCATCATCATCATCATCATCATCATCATCGTCAACAGCATCGTCATCATCAGCAGCAGCACCAGCATCATCATTATCATCATCATCATCATCATCATCATCATCATCATCATCATCATCATCATCATCATCATCATCATCATCATCATCGTCAGCATCATCATGCGCAGCATCAGCATCAGCATCATCATCAGCAGCACCAGCATCATCAGCATCATCATTGGCATCACTGCCAGTGGCATCACTGCCATCATCACCAGCATCATCATAATAATCCTTCTCAGCATCATCCTCATCCTCACCATCATCATCACCATCATTATCATCATTATCATCCTCAGCATCATCGTCCTCATCATCATTGTCATCATTGTCACTATTGTCATCATTGTCATCATCGTAATCGTCATCGTCATCATCTTCATCATCCTCATCCTCATCTCGTCATCCTCATCCTCATCCTCATCCTCTTCATCCTCCTCATCCTCATCCTCATCATCGTCGTCCTCGTCCTCGTCCTCGTCATCGTCATCACCATCAACATCAACATCACCACCGCCGTCACCATCATCATAGATGCCGTCGCCCTCGTCAGACCCTGCCAACCCGCTGGGCGTAGGTGGTCTAACGATATCTTCGTTCCTCTTTCAAAACCGCTCTTCCGTTCGGGGAAGGGTACCCTCCCCCTCCCCTCCTTGAGTTTTCGTTGGTGGTGGTGGGGGGGGGGGTCGCGATGTGTCAGAGGGTCCTAGTCCGCCCAAGAAGGCTTCGAAAGGGCCCCCGATGCTCCAAAATGGTCTACAAAATGGCTCAAAACAGCCGACGATGGTTAAAGGAAACTTCCGACATGCCTCCAAGAGGCCCCCAAAAAAACACAAGATGTTTCCAAGTTCTCCCGAGGCCCCCCTAGGACCTTTTCAAGACGCCAGAATCCGTTGGAGATACGCGGAGCGTGAACCATTTCTGCGAACGCGTCCTTCATCATCATCCTCACCCGCATCATCGTCATCATCATCGCCAGCGTCATCGTTGTCACCATGATTATGATCACATTCAGCTTCATCACCATCATCATCATCATCATCATCATCATCATCAGCATCATCATCATCATCATCATCATCATCATCATCGTCATCATGATCATCAGCATCATCACCGTCATCATCATCATCATCATCATCATCATCATCATCATCATCATCACCATCGTCATCGTCATCGTCATCATCATCATCATCATCATGATCATCATCATCATCATCGTTATCGTCGTCGTCGACATAGTCACCACCGTCGTCATGAACATCACCGGCGTGATCTCAGTTGAGCTCTACCAACAAGTCGCGGGTGGTAGATGGGATGTTTGCACGAAACTGTAAAAATGGTCCAACGCGGAAGATACACTGTGGGTGGACGATAGTACATGGCACTACGTAGAGTGCACAGCCCATGTTGCACCGCAAATGTTCACTACCCCCAAAAACATGATTCCCGCATGCCGAGGCCGGACGTGTCTGCTCATCTCCGCATATTGATTCCATATGTGTTCTGCACGGTTAGATCGTCGATGCAACATGTCAAATAACACTGTGACAGCCTACGCGCTAACGCCCCCAAATCATCATCATCACATAACGCATTGCGAAACACACACGTTGTCACAACATCATGCAGGCCATGCGCGTCAAATTAAGAACATGCGGGCCGCATGAGCGCGCCTCCGCGCGCGCACGCTGACACCATTCAGAGACAACTTGCTTATTTCAAGATATCTTGAACATGCTATCCAAGCAGCCCGCTGTCTTCTTCGTCCTTCAAGCAGAAGCGTCAGATGTCTGCGCGCACACTCGCTGCAATTACGCGAGCACCTTATGCGTTTCCTTTTCCGCCGAGTGAACCCATGCGGGCCGCACGTGCGCGACTTCGCGCGCGCACGTCGATCCCATTCCAAAACCATTGGGTTCCTTTTGGATTCCTGCGACTTTCAACGTAGAAGTCTTCAGCAGCATATGAAAGATGCTTGTTCAATCCAAGCTTCTGTCAGAACTTCGGAATTTCTGCGTGAGCGCACTCCCTCATCCTCATCATCGCCATCTGTATCAGCATCGCCAGCGTCATCATTTCCACCGTCATTGCCAGAATCGTCGTTACCATCACCATCGACGTCGTCATCATCCCCACCGCCGCCATCATAATCACCATCATCATAGTCGTTGTCGTCGCCCTCGTCACCAGCGCCACCTTAACATCATCATCACCAGCAGCAGCATCATCCTCATCATCATCATCACCACCACCACCACCACCACCATCATCATCATCATCATCATCATCATCATCATCATCATCATCATAGTCATCATCATCATCCTCATCCTCACTTTCATCATCATCATCCTAATCCTCGTCCTCATCCTCATCAGCAGCACTCGCCTGCCCGAGTCGTGGATATGAACGGGAAGAGACCTTTCCTTGCGTCATTGCGATCGCTGAGCTTTGCCAACAACGAATGCGGGAAGGTGGTGGGATATGTACTCGAGCATTGGAGCTGACGACGAACATTGCAGTTCACGACTTCAAGGTCTTCACAATTGACTGCACCCACTGGCTTGCGCCGCAGATATTGCACCCTCACCTTGCACCTCATTGGACTGTGTACTGGGAGGGCAAGAACGCATTGTGTTCAGTCAACAATAGGAGCCATAAAGACTGGACTTTGGACGCGCGAAATGGTGCGGAAAAATGCGTACGATGCGCAACAGCGAATGTTGTCCAGCACCGACAGCGGCCGCTGCTGGGCTGGCGGCCTTCTGTCTCGAATGGACAACGACCGCGGCGACGCCTACAGAGAACCCTGTTCAACATGAAGAACAAATAACGTTGAACTTTGTGAACGTTTTTTTATTCGGCGTTTAGACACTGGGCGGAATGGGGGGGGCTCTGGCTCCAAACCTCTGCTTAGTGCGACTGTTTGGAACCGTGCGTCCTATGGGGGAGACCCCACCTGCCTGCTTGAAAGAGGCGTCTAAAACAGCCAAAATCTACTCCAGGGGGGGGGGAGGGGGTGCGAGGGCCCGCGCCGATCGGCAAAAGAATGCATCAAAAAGCAATCACTCTGTACCCATTGTTTCCGTAACTAGGGAGCCCACAAAGGACGTACGCGCCCAGCTATGTACATGAACACGGCCCTTCGATCCGCGAGACCGGCCGCGTTATATGAACATTTGCGCAATGCGTACTCTCGAAACCAGCGTGGATTCATGTACGTGTACGTCCTTCTGTCGCTCCTGAGTAACCGTTTCCATCGCCCCGATCAATTCTTCTCAAATCTCGGAGAGCCCGGAGCTCGGGCACTCGCGTGCCTCCGCTGGCGCCCCTGGGGTGCGTCGCGTGGCCTTCCGTGGCCACGGCAGTACTCTTGGAAGCCAAAATTTTCAACCCCTAGATGGGATCGGAATAGATTTGAGCAGGGACCGACCGCCCCGGCATTCCTAGAGTCCTACCACGAAATGTTCTCAGATCCCAAAAACGTTCTAAGAACAACAACAATGTTCTTAGAACATAAACCCGATGTGTTAAAACAAGACAGTCCGAACCAAAAATGTTCTAAGAACATGTCGTGGGAACCACAAGAGGTTCTTAGAACATTGTTTGGTAGGGCTATAGGCGAGCCAGGACGCTTCGCCACTGCTTGATAGATGGGGTCCGAGGATCGCGCCGCATCGCCGATGCATCGGCGATGCATCGGCGATGCATCCGCGATTCATCGGCGATGCAACGGCGATGCATCGTCGACGTGGGCGATGCATCGGCGACGTCGACTCGAAGGAAATCGGGCTCCACATCGAGCCGCATCGCCGATGCGGCGCGATTCTCCGACCCCATCTACTCCGACCCCATCTGGGAGGCCTAGAATCAGATGCTCCCTGAACCCTGCCCTGAAGCCATCGTGGGCACTTCTTGGGCCGTCTTCGAGGCCTTGATGGACGGCCCCGGGTGCCCAAACCATGAAGAAACTGAGCATGATAGCCAGCGTGGACCACAAACAGTCATTTTCTATCAATGTTTGCATCGCAATCTAGATGGTGCAATCACTATGGTGCAATCTAGATGGTGCAATATTTGCAATAGTTGCGGCGCAATCTAGATGGTGCAACAGTCATTTTCTTGCAATAGGTTGTGTAATCACTATAGTGCAATCTAAGTGGTGCAACCCATGTGGCGCCGTCTAGGTGGCGCAAGGCAATGCAAAGCGATGCAGAGCAATGCAGAAGAATGCAGAGCAATGCAGAGCAATGCAAAGCCACGCAAACCCATGCAAAGAAATGCAAACTAATGCAAAACAACGCGGCGACTGGCGGCGACGAGCCGACCGGACCGCGACTGGGGCCCAGCAGCGACGGCGACGAGCTGGCTGGACCGCCACCGAGGCGGAGTTACCTTAGCACACAAGTAGGAACTCATGAATGCAATCCCCGTTTGGGGAAATACGTTTTCTTTGATTTGAACATTATCCCCTTTCGGTCTGAAGAGCGTCCAGGGAGGCCAAGCAGGCCCCCAATACCACCACAAGAGGCCCTCAAGAAAGGCCCAAGAGGTCCCCTGGACGGTCCCAAGAGGAGTCCAGACAACGCGCCACCGCCAGACTACTTGATGCCCTCTCTCCAAGATTGGCTCAAGGTTCCCCAAAGGCTCTTACGAGACCCCCAAGAAGCTCCCGAGGGGCGTACCAGATACCTCGAGAAGCCCCATAGGTAGCCCCGAAGAGATTGCCCGAGAGTCCGAGAGGTGTCCAAAGGCCTCGTCCACAATTCAGGCACGGTGGCGCGATGGGCTGAGGGCTAGCAGATCCGCCGCCCCATGTTGATGGCGTGCCAGACGCTAGCTTGGTCGGGTCCTCTTGAAAGTTCACAGGTGGGGGTCGGCCGATCGCGCCGTCAACCTGGAGGGCCCGCGCAAACTGCGCTCTCCACTGGCCATTCCCCCGAGGATGGCCTCCTGGGCGGCTGGCAAGGCCTCCAGGACGGCCAGGTTGGCCCCAAGAGAGCCCAAGAGGGCCGCAAGATGACCCCAAGACGGTCCAGCATCCGCCCGAACGGCCTGAGATGGACTCAAGATACCTCAGGATGGCCCAACATGCACCCAAGACGGCCTCAAGACGAACTCAAGAACCAGCGATGACGAGAAGACGAGGCCTCCTGCTGCTGCTTCTCCTCCTCCTCCTCGTCCTCGTCCTCATCCCTTTCCTTCTCGTCCTCCTCCTCCTCCTCCTTCTTCTTCTCCTCCTCTCTCTCTCTCTCTGTCTTTCTGTCTCCCTGCCTCTGTCTCTCTACCTCTCTCTCTCTGTCTCTGTCAGTATGCCGATCTGCCTCTCTGTATCTCTGTCTCTATGTCTCTCTGTGTCTCTCTGCCTCTTCTGTCTCTCTCTCTCTGCCTTTCTCTGCCTCTCTGTCTCTATGTTTCTCTCTCTCTCTCTGTCTCTCTCGCCGCCTCCCCCAAGTGTTCCCCGAGGGTTTCCACACCAGCTGGGGGGAACACGTAGTCTGATAGCTTGGCAAGACTTTGGCACAACGTTTGGTCACATGGGCACTTCCAAAAGGCAAGGGGCGGCGGTGGTTCGCCGTAGGCGTCTTCGAAAGGTTCGGACCATCCCGAAGATCTCTGCGGGCTCTGTGGGGCCGCCCTATCGCTCCCTGGGCGCCCTCCTGGGGCTCTTGCGGGCTGTGTGGAACCCCTTTGGGCCCCTCTCGGGCCTTTGCGAGGCCTTCCTGGCCCGTCTCGGCGCCTTCTTGTGGCGGTCCTGGACAACCTCAGGGCACTCTCAGGAGCCTCCATACAGTCGGGACGTTGACCTAAGGAACCCTAAATAAGGAACGAGGCCCCTTTTTTCCATAAGTTAAACCTCGATTTCCCATGGAAAACCTCAGGAAAACAGAAGGCAAACTGTAGAACAATCAAGGAACACCGAGCCCCTCCCCAACGAAAAGGGTTCCTTCTTCAGGGCCCCGGCCGTAGGCGTCTTCGAAAGGTTCGGACCATCCCGAAGATCTCTGCGGGCTCTGTGGGGCCGCCCTATCGCTCTCTGGGCGCCCTCCTGGGGCTCTGTCGGGCTGTATGGAACCCATTCGGGCCCCCTCTCGGACCTTTTGTGAGGCCTTCCTGGCCCGTCTTGGCGCCTTCTTGTGGCGGTCCTGGACAACCTCAGGGTACTCTCGGGAGCCACCAGACGTATTTTTTCCAGGCCCAAGCAAGCAAAACAGGGGGCCCGCGCGAGGGGCAAAGCCACTTGAATATCTGTAGCTGGGTCGACACCAACGCCGATGCGATTCGGAAGGCAAAGTATCCCGGTAACTGCGCTTGCGACCTCCCTCTGAATCAACGACTGCAAGACATCAACATCCAATACGTTCAAGATGCCTGACCAGTCGAGCATGAGAGTGGGAGGAGTCACCGCCCACACGTTGATGCCCCCGAAGAACGGCGGCCTGTCAAGCATGTCCATCAGGCAGATGTGGAGCTCCATCTTCAGACAGATGCCCTTGATCCCAAGATTGATGAGACCCTTGAAGGGTGGACCATTGACGCTGATGTCCAAATCGCCGTTCCATTCCAAGGCGACCGTCATGTCGATGTACTCTCTCAGACCGTCGGCCGAATACTTGTTCCGGTCCTCTGTGGTCCACTTTGTCACACGAGGCGGCTGCTTACCGATTGTGCACGGGTCGATGTCGAGGCCTCTTAATGGTGCTGGCAACTTCTGACGGATCTGGGGCAGCAACACAGTCTTAACGGCCTCCTGCAGCGCTGGCTGGATAAAGCCCCACGCGTCCTCGATCATCAAATTGATCCACGAGGTCTCGATCGGAAGGGGGATAGGGTGCCTTTTCAGGTGGTCTGCAAACTTATCAACGCTCTCGAACAAGTTGAGTGGCAAGCCGATATTCATCTTCGCGGACACTTTTGCGAGTTGCTCCTTCATCTCCTGCCCAACGAAGGAGCAAATCCGGGGCCAGAGGTCGATTATAATCTCGATCATCCATAGCGCGTCCTCTTCGTTCTTGTCCCTCAGCTGCTGGTTAGCCTGCTGGAGCAGCTCGGCCTCTGTCGAGACCCTTCTCTGGCTGGCAGCGATCGCGACCGCAGCGGACATCACCACTACCGCCAGCCTGCCCTCGCCCGAAGAAAGAAAAAAAAAAAACGCGAGGTGGCCGTCGGGTGGCTCTGGGAACCGCTCCGGCTTGGGACTGTCTGCGGAGACGACCGAGGAGGAGAAGGAGGAGACGGAGGATGAGGAACGAGGAGAGGAAGACAACTTCGACGGGAAGGGACGGAAGGATGAGCAATGAGGGCGAGCAGAGGGAGGGAGGGACGGGTAGGAAAGGAGTGAAAGGGAGAGAAGGATGGCAAGAATGGTTGAATTGGTTCCACCGTCTCTCTTCCCGAATCCTCCGTCCCTATCCTGGCACGGGAAACCCTATCCCCGCTTTGTACCCCCCACACACACACACAGACACACAGACACACAGACACACAGACACACACACACAAACACACACACACACACACACACTGGTGTTTCTAAGGAGGAGGAGGAGGAGGAGGAGGAGGAGGAGGAGTTCCTGGAGGAGGAGGAGGAGAGGAGGAGGAGGAGGAGCAGGAGGAGCGCTCCGAGGTCATCGAGCTCTGGAGCTCCTGAGGCCTTCGTGCTTCGTGGCGCTTCCCATCGGCTGCTGCGGCTCGCCGAGAGCTCTCTTCTAGGAGCCCTAGGAGGCGTGCCGAACGGCCGCCTGGGCCCGCCGTCTGGATCGAAAGCAAATGTTTGCGGGAGGAGGATCCCTCGCCATCGCTCGGACGTCCATTCCCTGTGTTTTTTGGGGTTTCGTGCGTGGCTTTTCTCGCCAAATGATCAGGGATGCTCCTCGATGGTCCTCGCCGAAGGAAAAATGCACACGTCCGAGCGATGGCAAGATCCTTGTTCGAACTGGGCGCCGCCACCACCGCCACCGCCGCCGCCACCACCACCACAAATCATGATGGCGTTGGCTGCTGCTGCTGCTGCTGCTGCTGCAGCTCCTGCTACGGCTGCAGCTGCTGCTACGACTTTAGGATTCTTGCTAGTACGATTGGCACTACTAATATGATCCCACCAGCCCTTTGGACGCAGGTGGTCTAACGATGTCTTTCTTTCCTCTTCCAAAACCCCCTCTTCCCCTTCGGGGAGGGGTTTACCCCTCCCTCTACCCCCTCCCCTGGACATGATGGCCCAAGATGGCTCCAAGAGGGCCTCCGATGCTCGAAGATGGCCTCCAAGACCGCTCAAGATAGCCCAACATGGCTCAACATAGCTAACAGCATGCCTCCAAGAGGCCCCAAGCGGGCCACAAGACGGATCCAAGTGCTCTTGGAGACCCCTAAGGGCCCCCCCAAAAGCCCAAATCCTTGACAGACACAAGGAACATCAATAACTTGTGCCCTCTCGCCGTTTTGCTTCCGACGCGCTTCTGAGGCCTCTCGGCACTTTGGCGTGTGTCAGAATGCTATCGGGGAACGAAGAACGACATAAGCACACAAACTCGGAGATCCGCGCGGAGTTCTCGGATCGGCGCTGGATCCCCCTCCCTGGCGAGCGGAGCGCGCCAGGGGCGGGTCTGGAGGCGCTGCCAAGGGGTCCAGCGCAGATTCGAGAAATCCACGCGGACCTCCGAGTCTTTATGCTTATGTCGTTCTTCGTATCCCTATGTTACCCATCAGTTGGGTTTCTGCTCTTCCCGTGGAGGGTCTGAAGCTTGAAGCTCCCCCCCTTCGGGGCTCTTTTCGGCCCCGCGGTGGGTCCAAGACTGCACGGGACCGCCCCAAAAAGGCGGAGAGATGCCCCAAGACCCAGCACAAGACGGCCAAAGACCCCCAGAAGCGGGAGGATGACCCCAAGTGAGCTCAAGGGACCCCCAAGAAACCTCCATGCGGCGCCCGTGGACCTCTCCAGCAAGGCGGTGGGAGGCCAAACGCATCGAGAGGCTCGGCTGTTCTTGCCCGACCAGACGGCCCCCAGCTACTTATGCCGAGCCTTTTCGGGGAGGCTCAGCAAAACCATCGCGATGAAGGCGCCCTCTGGACCTCAGTGCCCCCAAGATGCCCTCCAGAGACCTCATGGGGCACCCGAAGAACACACAAGAAGTCACAATTCTGCCGACCCTGTCGGCATGTGTGAGAGGCTTTTCCGTTTTCGTCGTCGTCGTCGTCGCCGTCGTTTTCGTCGTCGTCGCCGTCGTCGGCGTCATCGTCGTCGTCGCCGTCACCGCTCCCACCTGTCCCTGTCCGTGGGCCCTCCTTGTCAGGCGTCCCAAAAGGAATCGAGCAACGTCGTAATCGAGTCGAAGGGGGGCCCCTTCAATCTGATTCCCTTCCCCGCTGGGCGGGAGGGTCCGGGGGGGGTCCCTGGGCTCGTGACCCCCCCGCGTAGGGGAGCACCCCTCCCTAGGAGAAGCTTTCCCCCTTCGACTCCTCCCACACGCCTCGGGCTCCCCCTTCAGGGTCGGCGGCACCGGCCGCAAGGCCTTCACGAGAAGCAGTCGAAACACCTATGATAGGCGAAAGCGACAACCGTACATATGAAGGGGCCCCAGGACACACAAATAAATACACACAAATAAAAATATTCCCCATATGTTTCCATATTTTCTGGGTTTTTGTCTTCCCCCCCCCTTTCCATATTTTCCCATATCTTCTGGGTAACCGGCGATTAATTGTTCGGTGTGTGTGTGTGTGTTTGTGTGTTTTTTCCTTCCTGAACATAGAAATGACGCTGCGGTCTGTAGGGGCTGGTGGTGCCGTCTTTTCGAGCAGCCAGCGGGTGCGAACGTTGACCTCTGGCGTTGCATAGGCGAGGACCTCACTGCCAGATCCGGAGACCCTGCGGAGATCGTTGTCATGAAAGAAAATTTCCTCTCGCCTCGACCAGGACGTGGAGCAGATAGTCTCCACGAAAACCCCTCGGTGCATGGTCGACGGCAACATGCTTGTCGATGCCATGGCTGAGTTTGCTGGCTTGATTTGCAGCCAAGGCAGCCAGAATCTCAGCTTCTCAGAGACACCGTGTTGCGATGGTCGAGGCCGACGCGTGCAAGGTCAGGCACAGGCTTCTTCGAGCCACCCTCGAGGTGGCGGAGCTCGCTGAGGACGGGCCCAGGAACAAAAGGGTCTCGTGCCCCTGCTCGTGCTCCCCCTCCCCCTTCTCGTCGAAGTGCGGCGGTTTTTCGAAGCGCTCACCAGATCTCTGACTGTGGGAAAAAGCGTACAGTGCGGAAGAGCTCAGCCTCAGATGCCACCAAGGTCGACAGGCTGACTAGCACCTGCTGTCAGCTTGAGGCCCATTCCAGTCTGACGCGCAGGTTGCCCAAAAGTCGTCGTTTACGTTTCGCTAGAGGGTGGGTTCACGAGTCCCACCCCATGGAGTATCATGATGGCCTGAATATGTGGTTTTGTGGGGTGTGGGTGTTACGGTGACTCTCAAATTCGAGGTCTCGGTCAACCCTGTGAGCCCCCGACTAAGACTCGGAAGGCCTATCTCAGTCGAATTTCCAAAGGTCTTTGGCCTAAAGTGCTCAGCAAGGCTGATCAGGCGACTAAGGCTTAATTTTGTGTTGACTTGCTTCGCGATTGGTCATATCTTATATTACCTCCTCCTCCTCGTCCTCGTCCTCCTCCTTCTCCTCCTTTTCCTCCTCCTCCTCCTCCTCATCCCCCTCCTCCTCTTCGTCCTCCCCTGTACCCTCGACCACGGGGGGGAGAGAGCGAGGGGAGGTGCGAGCCGAGGAGGCTCCTTCACGAGATCCGACCCACGGTGTCGCAGCGAGGGGCGGGATGACGACCTCGGCGCTGAGCAGCTCGCTTTGGAGCCTCCTCGCTTTGACGTCCCAGCCGCATCACCGCATTTTCTGTCCAAGGCTCGTAGGAATTAGGTGGCGCTCCCACTGGCGCGTCTCTTCGGACATGGTCCGACGGGAAATGGAGCCACAACTGGTGCTTCTTGTATTCAATTGTAGAATCCCCTGTGCTCAAGCTTCACGTCTGGGCTCACAATACTTGCAGTGACCAGCAAGATATTGCAGGAATGAGTCCAGAGGCAAACCAAAGCTTGAATGGACCATATTGTTCCTCGTGTTGTCCATTGCGTTTATGCCACACATAACGAAGATTTGTCCGAAACATGTCTGGGTGGAAAAGTGCATCGCGACAGTATTCACAGCTGTCGAACGTCACTTTGGGTAGGGGTTGGTTCGTTCGATTCAACGCATCTACATGATCCCCATGCCGATGTCTGAAACACACTCCACGATAGCGCATTGCGCCGTCAGGTGTTACATCGTCGACGGCAACCTCGATCCAATGGGCCTGTGCACAACATAATGTTTGGCCGTAGTCGGAATGTTGCGGCCAACCTGAAGGGCCCCGACAAGCCCAAGCAATGCCGCATTGACTGGACCACCACCGACATGAAAGAGACGAGTACGCGAGGGCGGCGACCTCGCGAAAGAACTGTCGGATGAGTCAGCGACTCCGCTGGGCCTATCGCCACCGTCGCCCGAGCGTCGCCCCGTGAATCTATCCCGCCTGTGGAGTTGATTGCGACTGTCCTCTCAATTCTCGTGTTTCTTCGACTGGCTGCCCTGCTTCTCATCTTTCTCTTCGCCACCAGGTTTTTTTTTTTTTTGTCATTTCAGCCTCTGAAGGATTGGAGCAGGACACGGAGACGACGAGACCTGCCGCGGGATACCTGCAAAGTGCTGCCCTCTGCAGGCCAAGCCGAAAATATACATCTAAAACTTCATGGGCGCACCGAGGCGTCGCGGAGGGGTCGCCCGTGGGCGGGCCCATCGGGCCCTCGGTCGCTGCTCCATCACTGCCTACCTCTGCTTGGGTTCCTCGAACACATCGTTGTCAAACGCCTCGCCGTCTCCTTCGTGCTGGGCGTCCTCCGGCAGGGCTGCGACTCGTGAAATCTCAGGATTCACGCCCCCTCTGCTCGCGCCCCCCGCCCCGCGCCACGCCCAAACAGCCCCAGATGGCCCGAGCAAGCCCCCGGCAGAGAAGCCGTCTTATCTCGGGGCCCTACCACCGCCCTCGTCGTCTCCGCCAGCATTCGCGGGGCCACCGCCACCCAGGGCGCCGGAGCTCTCTTTGGGTCCACGATGGACCGGGGCGGCGTCGGGGCAGCGTGAGCGGCGGCGGGCGTGGCCCGCGGCTGGGGGGG